AATGCAAACATTCTTTAACAATATAGATTGTAGATAGCAAATTGCTATGTTACATGTATGTTGCAAAATGTATTAGAAAGAGTGTGTAATTCTTTCGTTTCCAGTTTAACAAATGAGCAAGCCTAGTAAAACCTTATCCGGCACGTGCTACACGGAAAACAAAGCGACCGTACTGTCAGGTATGCGGTGAACCGAGGGTACTTCGGAACTCACTTTTTCATACTTTTCAGGTCTATACTTTTTCTAGAGATGCGGAAATATCTTCGACTAATGCTGATCAATTTTGAATAGCCAATTTCGTGGCATTGCACCCACCAGCAGCGAAACAGAAACCGATAGCATATATTATATATATATACTACTATATATTTAGATATATATATCTATGATATATAACTTACAGTTGTTTTCTCGCAGCAATGACGGCCTATCGCGGATCTTCGATATATTGAAACAAAGACGGCGAGAAATCGATAGGTGGTGACACAGCCTCCAGAGCGAGGTCGGCTTGCTTGGTCGCTCAGATCGCCAAACTAACTGGGTATGCATACATATTTAACCTACTTGCGTCGAACGCTATATGCCTACCGATGATATAACAATCATGTATTTATTAATATGTATGTAAAATGTTATTATTGTTCTCGATGCCGAAATATAGACATAAGGATTCTGGCGCGACCTTAATATAGAACACTATGAATCATATCTGCGTAATATGATCCAAAGTTAACAAGTATTAACGTAGGCCGAATGTATTACTGGATCCCGTTGGGCACACCGTGTACGGCAGGCAAGTCGCCTGGTAAGTGTTGTCCGCCAATAACGTAATTAATCCATTTAAGGTGACTATATGTAGTTCAGTGCTGTGTGTGTAGCAGGACGGCTTTTGTCTCGAGCTAAGAGACCGTAAATCGTCCTAGCCATTCAACATGCGACAGCAGAGTGGTAGCGATTCGAGTTATAAATCGAAGGTACTAAGTTAACATTGTGAGTTCACAGTTACCGATGCGCGCATTACCGCAAAATATAAGAGCAAAAATTGATATAGTCTATTCAATTCGTCAATGCAGATCGTTAATATGGGAGCGTTACTTGTGTGTATATTACAGGGAATCAAATGATTTACTCAATAACTTTTTATTATTATTTTTTCCATGAGATCAGTGAGTTTGCATCGTCTACGCGAGTAAAGTAACAAATGAAATGTACACCGGTAAATCGCGGGATACACAGACACAGATGCTAGAAATTCGACATATATTTATTTCGGAAGAAATTTACAAAGATTGACGTCAATTATCTTTTCGCCATTAATTATCATTTAATGAGATTGTTCGATGACATTGGCATCGGCTTCGGCGTTCATATTGTTCCGCGGATTCTTTTGTTGGTAAAATGGCATGCAGTCTCTCTTTGGGCAACTCTCTGAAGTTTAAATAGAAAAATGTTGAACACATATGGATACCTTTCCTGCAGTTGTTTCCTTGATGATGTTTTACCATTTTAAATTTCCCTTCGCGACAGAAACTTCGGCTACTTTTACTAATTGCATAGTCCCCTAACACAATAATGTTACGTACAAAGCTGCAACGTCCATTTCTCCTCACATTGTGCACGAATACTAGACACTCGATAGACCGCATATCGTTGACAGGTGTTTAAATAATATTAATAAATAATAAATAATATATAATAATAATTATATATAATAAATAATATATAATAATAAATAATAATTAGAATGACAACGTAATATGTATCTTTTGTGATGTTTTGAGCGGATAAATCGATCAAGCTTACTGTTAATTGTGAATCCATTCATGCCGATCGTCATCCGTCATTATATGTCAATTTTATGTCCTTCTCTCTAGTGTTATTGAAAGTAAAAGCTCTAATTATCCGGTCGGAAGTCACGTGATTCTAAAACGAACCTGCGGCTGGCGAACACATACAGGTAAGTAAACGGAATCTCTCGTACATAAATTTAAAGACAAGTCTAATTTTTTCGCCACGGATGCACAGGGAATTCGCCATGTTGTCTGGCATACTTTCGCTTGTGATCGTAATCTTCTCACTAATGTTTAAATGTTTATATCGTAAATTATGCGCTCTGGACAGGTTATATCCATATAGCACCATTATATATACCCTTAGATATCTCGCTCTAATCGGTGTGCTGTGGGTCAGGTATAGCGCAGTATTACCTGTGTGCCTTGCGAGCACTGACAATCGGTAATGCTAATTAAAAATGATGCCCAGGTATTTATCCGGTATTCTGTGTGAATGAAGTGTGTGAAGAAAGGTGGGGTAGAGAGAAACAGGGAGCAAGAGAACGGGAGTAAGGGAGAAAGAGAACGAGATAAGGAGGAGGTGAAGGGACACTCAAATAGAGGCAGAGACAGAGAAATAGAGGCAGAGACAGAGGGACGTAGGAAGAAAGAGAGCGTAGCGCAAAGATGGAGGCATATAATGAGCGGGGAGAGGAAGTATGAAGCGA